CTTAATCTTATCCCGCCCTCCCCATTTATTCTACTCTTTCTTTTGACCCTGTGCCTCCTCAGAAGTGTTTGTTTCTGATTACCCCCTTTCCCAATCTGCCCTCCTCTCTATCATTCCCCTGCTCTCTTGTCCTCTTCTCCCCCTATTTTCCTGTAGGGTAAGACAGATTTCCATACCCAACTGAGTGTGTATGCTATTCCCTCCTTAAGCCAAATCCTATGAGAATAAGATTTACTCATTCCCTCTCACCTTTCCCTGTTTCCCCTTCACTGTAAGAGTCTTTTCTTTTCTGTTTTTTTTTGGTGAGACAATTTACCCCATTCTACTTCTCCCTTTTTTCTCCTCCCAGTATAATCCTCTCTCACCCCTTAATTTTATTTGCCAGATATGACCCCTTCATCTTCAACTCATCCTGTGCCCTCTATCTATCTATCTATCTATCTATCTATCTATCTATCTATCTATCTATCTATCTATCTACTGTCTGTCTGTCTGTCTGTCTGTCTGTCTATCTACTATCTATCATCTATCTATCTATCTATCTATCTATCCATACATATAATTTTTTCCCTCCAACCACCCTAATGCTGACAAAGATCTCATGAGTTATAAATATCATCTTTCCATGTAGGAATGTAAACAGTTCAACCTTAATAAGTCTCTTATGATTTCTCTTTCCTGTTTACCTCTTCATGGTCCACTTGAGTCTTGTATTTGAAAGTCAAATTTTCTATTCAGCTCTGGTCTTTTCATCAAGAATGCTTGGAAGTCCTCTATTTCACTGAATGACCATTTCCCCCCCTGAAGGATTATACTCAGTTTTGCTGGGTAGGTGATTCTTGGTTGTAATCCTATCTCCTTTGCCCTCTGGAATATTATATTCCCTGCCCTGCGGTCCCTTAATGTAGAAGCTGCTAAATCTTGTGTTATCCTGATTGTGTTTCCACAGTACTTGAATTGTTTTTTGTTCTGGCAGCTTGTAATATTTTCTCCTTGACCTGGGAACTCTGGAATTTGGCTACAATATTTCTGGGGATCTCTTTCAGAAGGAGATTGGTGGAGTCTTTCAATTTCTATTTTTCCCTCTGGGTCTACTATATCAGGGCAGTTTTCCTTGATAATTTCTTGAAAGATGATGTCTAGATTCCTTTTTTGATCATGGCTTTCAGATAGTCCAATAATTTTTAAATTCTCTCTCCTGGATCTATTTTCCAGGTCAGTTGTTTTTCCAATGAGACATTTCACATTGTTTTCTAATTTTTCATTCTTTTGGATTTGTTCTACAGTGTCTTGATTTCTCATAAAGTCACTAGCTTCCAATTGCTCTATTCTGATTTTTAAGGAAGTATTTTCTTCCTTTTCCATTTGGCCAATTTTGGTTTTTAGGGCATTCTTCTCATTGGCTTTTTGGACCTCTTTTGCCATTTGGGTTAAGCTATTTTTTAAGGTGTTATTTTCTTCAGTATTTTTTTGGGTCTCCTTTAGCAAGCTCTTGACTTGTTTTTCATTATTTTCTTGCATCACTCTCATTTCTCTTCCCAGTTTTTCCTCTACTTCTCTTACTTGCTTCTCAAAATCCTTTTTGAGCTCTTCCAAGGCCTCATACTGATTCATATTTTTCTTGGAGGCTTTGGATGTAGGAGCTTTGACTTTGTTGTCTTCTTCTGGTTGTATGTTTTGATCTTCTTTGTTACCAAAAAAAGATTCTATGGTCTGACACTCCTTGCTAGGTTTGCTCATGATCCCAGCCAATTACTTTAGTTATCAACTCTTTGATAATGTAGAGGTCTGCTTCCAATGTGGAGAATGTACTGTCCCAAGCTTCGGAGGTTTGTACAGCTACTTTTAGAGATACTTCTAGGGACCTGTAAATTTTCAGTTCTTGCAAGGTGGTATGATAAGGGGCGAGGTGTTTACTTCTTTCCTCACCTGTGCTCTCTTTTCTGTCTTGGAACTGTGAGGAGGATTTCCTCTCCACAGCCGCTACAAGTTCCACCACGCCAGCACTCCTCCTCGCTCCAGGACTGCCACCCAGAACTGTGACCCAGATCCAAGCATGGACAAAGCAAGAGATCTTTGCAATCACTCTCTGATCAGCCACTGGATTCCCCCTCAGTCTGTGGGCCAGAAGCTCAGGAGGCAGGGGCAGCGCTCTGTGCTCTGCACTCAGGAACTGGCTCTGAGACCTACCTGCTCTCTCACCGCAGAAACAGACTTTCCCCACTAAACTTCTAAATTGTTTTTGGTGTTCCTGGGTTGAGAAGTCTGGAAGCCACCACAGCTGCCTGCAATTCAGTACTCTGAGGCCTGCTCCAGATTCTCTGCGGCCTGCGCGCCCACACCAAACTGCACACCTCTACCTGCCTGCCATGATATACCTTTCTGATCAACCATACAGGCTGTGTTGGTCTGGAAATTTGTTTCACTCTGTCTTTTTGTGGGTTATGCTGCTTTAGAATTTGTTTAGAGCCATTTTTTATGAGTATTTGGAGGGGTTTGGGGGAGAGCTCAAGCAAGTCACTGCTTTCACTCTACCATACCCCTGTGGTATATGATTGTGATGGCATACTACTGAGCTATAAGAAATGATGAGCATGGGGAAGCTAGGTGACCCTGGGCAAGTCACTTAACCCCAATTGCCTCAGGAAAAAAATGAACAAACAAACAAAAAGAAATAATGAGCTCAATGATTTTATAAAAACATAGGAAGACTTGCACAAAATAATGAAGAGTGAAATGAACAGAACCAAGAGAATATTGTATCTAGTAACAGCAATATTGTTTTAAGAATAACTTTGAGCAAATGAGTTATTTTGTCTATTATAAACATCCAAATTAACTGTAAAGGATAGATGAAGAAAGATGCTATCTGCATCCAGAAAAAAGAACTGATAAATAGAAGTATGTATAGAATAATTTTACATATATATATCTATATCTATCTATCTATCTATCTATCTATCTATCTATCTATCTATATTTGTGTCTAATAGTAGCTATATTTAGGGCAGGGGTAGGGAAGAAAAAAAGAAATTTACATGATAATTTTGTTGCATATTTGAAAGGAATAGCAAGTTGTGTATAGTAGATTTGATGTTCGGTGTACAATGTGCTTGTTTTAATCCACACACTAAAAATAAAATAAAATAAAATTTTTTCCAAGTTAGTCAGTAGACATATATTAAGCACCTACTATGTGCCAGGCACTCTGCTAAACAATAGGCTTACAATGAAAGGCAAAATCAGTTCCTGCTCTCAAGCTCACCTTCTAATGAGAGAGAAAACATGCAAACAACTATGTACAAAAAAAAACATTTAGAGGATGAATTAGAAACCATCAATTGAGGGAAGAGAATAGAATTAAGGGGCACTGAGAAAAGCTTACTGTAGAAGGTGGGATTTTAGCTACAATAACACAGTTGACTGAAAGTCATGGGAAGATGCAAGATTCCACTATGCTTCCTGATTGTTGACTACTAAAAAAGAAAAGCATTTCTTTCAGTAGAGCAAAATACCACCTTAATATCTCTCCAATGAGAAGTCTCTCATGTATGTGTCAAATTTATACAACATATTCCTGAACGATTGGATCAATTGTATCAATTGGATCATTAATGTCTATATCTTGTAAATCTTAGGTTTCTTAAAGGGAAAGCCTTTTTGAGGGCTTCAGGATTCCAGGTCTCCTGGTAAAGTTTTCTCTGAGGCATCAGGCACACTGAGTCCTTGAAGTATCTTAGTCTGGCTCCCTGTCATTCAAAGACAGTCTAGTGAAGTTTAGACAGTCTGTCTAAAGGTTCTGTCTGACAGAAAATAAGGGAATATCTAAATAGAATGTCTTTGTATGATCACACTTTAGGATACTTTACTTAGCTGGCATACATGTTAGTGCTTCCAGTAGAATATAATAGCTGTGAGGGACAGAGATTTCATTTTTGTTTTTATATTCTCAGTAAAACACATAGGCCTGTCACTAAGGAGGGGCTTAATCAATATTTGTGGAGTCTAACAATGCAGCTTGCCTTCATAGCAAATAATTGGATCTTTTTTCTTTTTCTCATTTGAATCTGGGGAAGTTATTTTTGTTTTGCTTTGATTTTTCTTTTGGTTAAAAAAAATAGAAATTTTAGTGTTTTGCTCAGAATGCATTGTTTTCCCTTAGGAGTTTCTGCCATAGTGAGTGAGTGAGTGAATGAATTAGTGTGTGTGGGGGGGGTATGTGTGTGTATATGTGTGTGTGTTCTGATGATCTGCCATCCCTTTGATAGTATGCCCTTTACATTGCATGTTTCTCCCAAGAAGCAAAAAACAATATATCTTTCCCTTTGTGACAACATGGGGCTACCTAAGGCAGACAAGCTGTTGTGGATGTTCTCCAAGAAAAAAAATCTCATAACCAAAGTGGACAAAGCTTTAATGAAAAATTAGACAAAGTAGTGTTTATAAACTCCAAGGAAAGCATATTTCCTCCATGAGGTGTCCCCCAGCTGGAAGGGTTACAAACTTTATGTATACTGATACCGACTAGGTTTATGGAAAGAATGAATATCTGCAAATGACTGAATATCCAGTTAAGCCTGAACCAAGTCAACCTCTATGTTCCTCTCCTAGCACATTTTACCAGGCGACTCATGCCACTGCCACTTTCATTTATGGTGAATAGGAGGGTGAATGGATAGAGGTTATTTACCAAAAGAAAGCCTATCCATACTGAGGCCCTTTTGGTCATTTTAATTTCAGCTCAATATGAACAGTAGGTGTTGGCCTGACTTCACTCAATGAAATCTTCTCCTAATAAGAACAGAAGGAAGTAAGATCAGAAAATTTATGTTTCTATCATTGGCCAGGCCTGCTTCTCTGTCTTACTCTGCATTAACACAAAGTAAAATCAATGCTCAATCAGGGATTGGATACAGTCCAGACTCCACTGAGTTTTGAATCCTGATCTATACATATCAGCCAGTGTAAAATTTCATCTTGAAATAATAAATATGACCCACCTCTTATAGAATGTCAGGCACTACTTTTCTTCAGAGCTGAAGGCCTGGTGCTGCTTGTTTGTTTGCTGTGTCAAAGCTAATAAACACGTTAGTCTCTCTGTGGCAATTCACATGCTGCACAAAAGCTCTTTTCTTTATGGGGTTCTTCTATTTCTTAATTGGCACACCACTGCCTGAGTCACTATAAATAAACCTCTCATCCAGTGAATATGCTGGAAAACTGTGAGTGAAAAGAATGAGCACAGCCGATGACTTCTTTAATAGACTTGTAGTCTCTAAGTAAATGCAGCTGCATAAATAAAACAGTGAAAATAAATCAGGTCAGAGTGAAGGAAGGTCTGACAGTGGATATGTTCTTGATATTGAGTATAACCACTGGAATATCCAAAACTTCGTATTCCTTTTCCTTTTAGAAAAGAGACTGGTGACATAAATTTAAGTGAGTGGACAGTAAAATATTTTAGAAGGGCATTGTGGGTTCAAATTCCATCTCTGGCACTTACTGTATCACTGTGCCTCAGTTTCTTCATTTGTAAAAATAAAGTGTTAGACTAGATATCCATTAAGGTCTCTTCTACTTCTAAATCTATGATTATATGATTTCTTCTCTCTATGCTATACTGTCAACAGCTCTTCAGAAGACAGACTTTCTTTCTTCCATAGAATTCCTTGTAACACTAGGTTTAGGTTCAAAGGTGAGCAGAAACCAGTTCTTAGAGTCAACTGTTAAATTTTAAGTGCAAATATTTACCTCTTGGAAACCGACAAATGCTACAGATTAGGGCTTAATTTATTATTCTATTGATTGCCTAAACTTAGGACAGTAATGGAGAAAATGTTAGCAATTTGGATTAAACTTAAAAGTTTGTCATGCAACGAATACTTTTTTTTTTTTAAGAGAGAGCCAGTTAATAAACATTTACCAGCATGCTTCTGGCAGTACTTATCTTTGCACCATGTCTCACTGGCAGCGATTATTTTTTCCTCTTTGTTGAAGTGGAAGGTTATTAGACTCAAACATTATCACATAAAGTCTTGGCATTCAGGCTTAGATAAAAATGGAAGCATGCATTTAACTTCAAAATTATTTTATTCCTTCAAACACTGTAATTCCAAAACTACTCAGGATATGTAATACATAGATGCATGCATGGGCAGTTAAGTGGCACAGTGGCTAGAGCACTAGGCCTAGAGTCAGGAAGACCTGAGTTCAAATATGGCCTCAGACACTTAGTAGTTCTGTGATCCTGGGCAAGTCACTTAACCCTGTTTGCCTCAGTTTCCTTTTCTGAAAAATGAGCTGGAGAAGGAAATGCCAAACCACTTCAGTATCTTTGCCAAGAAAATTCCAAATGGGATCATGAAGAGTCAGATATGACTCAATAACAACAACAACAAAATATATGTGTATTTGTAGCTGAAAAGAGAAAAGACTATTCTGTTATCATGTGAGAAGAAATAGAATAAAGTAGAAATTTGGGAGGCACATGAACATGACAAATGCAAAATCAATATTACAATACAGAATTCTAGATCTGATTTAGAGTAACCTCTAACTTCTGTAAATATGTGAGATTTCATCATAGGTAGGAATGTGGTGTGTTTTGTGTATCTCTGGGGAGAGTAATGAGAATGAAGACTTTGATCAGTTTTTAGAGCACTAAAACAAAAATAATATTCCTCTCTCAAATGTATATAAAATCAGTTATAAAATGAGCCTTGTTTCTGAAGGAATGGTTAAAATCTATAAATTTTACCTATACATTCTCACCAGAAAAATAGCGACTTCTGATTCGAGGCTGTGAATGCTTCCATTCAGGACTGTCTATTAACTGTCTCAAATAGATGATGACTTCCATTTATGATTTGCATAAGAGAAGGTTACACATATATTGAATATAATAGTAGGCAGTCTACCAGAAAGAATATGGATATGGAAGGCAGCTCTGTTCCTGGCTCTGCTACAAACTAGTTGTGAGAACCTGAGTAAGTCATTTACATTTGCTGGGCCTCCTTTTGACATCTATCTACCCTAACTACCACTTGTGATGTTGCAATAATAAAGTGCTATAGTTTGGAAGGTACCTTTTGGGATTAAGTGCTATGTAAATGAAAAATAGTTTATTTCATTGGCATGCTTTAATATGGCAAAAATGTGTAAAGGTAGACTTGCATAATTTTCCTTAAAATTATAAAATCAGACTTATGTTAATGTTAAAATTCTATATGTGCTTGTGAATCTCACTGCATGTGAATATAGAGCATTTTCTCTCCCCAAAATGCAGTTAGGAAATTGTACTTTAATTCAACTCAATATAACAAGCATTTATTTAGCAATCACTGTGTTTAAGGCATAGTGCTGGGCTCTGTAGATGCAAAGACCTAAAGGAAAGAACCACTAATGTCCATTACTTAAAATATTACTTTGAGCATGGAGTGGTACCTGTCTATAGAATACATAATACTATTTTTGCATTTGATATTCAATATTAATTAAATCAACAGGTCTAGTACTTCATTTGGTGTTCTGGTGGAACTCAATAGGATGAAAAGATCTTAATTCATGTATAATACTGCAAGACAGCATTACTGACACTTTCATGATATTGGAACTAAAGAGAGTCTAATTTTTCCTCTTTCTCATTCACTTTAAATCCTTCTTTCTTTTTCCCTTTCTCCTTCCCTTCCTTTCTCCCTATCTCCTTTCCTTTCTTCATTCTCCCTTTCTCCCTTCTTTTCTCCCTGCCCATCCCTTCCCCTCTACTTCCTTCTTTGCTTCCTTCATTCCTTATTTTTCCCCTTCCTTCCTACTTTCTTTCCTTCATCACAAAACATTAATTATATTAATATGAGAGATGGGAAATGAGATTTCTGGAAACTAGGAGGGGGTGGCAGCTTTTTCTTGTTTGTTTTTGCAGATTTTTAAAGATACTTTTAAAAGCTGTTAATAGGAAAAAAACAAACTTGATCTTTCTCTGTGTGCTAATCTACAGCCTTCTTGTTAGAAGCAGCACAACTGTCACCTCCAAATGCCCGTGCTCATGAAAAGGTCATAAAAGAGCAATGCAGAAGTGTTGCACCATAGTCATTTCTAAAATACACTCCTTATCTCTAAGAAAGTAGCTGCTGAGCTTCTCTTCTTGGCTTTCTCCAGATATCCTTTGTATTTTCTTTATTTCAAGGGCATGAAAGATAATACTTTCATGTTCTTCCCCCAGCCCCCTCTCCCTGGGATATTGATAATAAATTAGATTCTATGGTTAAATTACGTTGAGTCAGCTGCAGGAAACCATACATAAATTCAAAGTGGTATTATTGTAATGCATAACTAATCCCCCTACCTGAAAACCTACTGAAATATCTTACTGTGTTGTGGAGGTGCCCCTCGGTTCTTGAAGGTTATGCCTGCTGAGCAAAAGTCCTGGCTTCTTCTACAAAGTTGGAAAAGCTCAGCCATCACCTGGGCAGAAGCTTCAGCTAAGTTTGGTCAGGCTCATCACCAGAAGGTTGTCCACTAGGTCATATGGTTGGCATTATTTTGTGGGGGATGGGGTGGGGTTTGCATCACAACTCATTAAAACAGCTATTAAGACTTGGGGATGTTACATTCTTTGTCAGTGGAAAAGATACCCACATTGATGATATCATGAGTATTTGGAAACAATGAAGAATTTTACTAATTCTCAGTTGTTGTTAAAGAAATCTCTGAACAACTCCCTTTGTGATATAAATATTGATTTTCTTTCTATTTGAGTAGCAAGATGAAAGAAACCAATGAGTAGCAAAAATGCATTATGGTATTTTGTGAACTACATGTTGATAGGGACATAACTACTTGCTTCTAATCTGTGAGTTCACCATCTAATCTTAAGTAATAGAGTTCTAAGGAGTAGTTTCTACATTAGTATGAAGTATATGTTGGAAGCAGCACAGTGTTCCTTTATTTCTTGAAATAGATGGGGAACTATGTGAACTAGTTGTAAAAAATCTCATTTGTATTTTTGTTTTCTGTGACTGGAGGGTATCAAGAAAACTGAAAAGTGGGGGCAGCCAGGATTTTCTATAAAACAAAATAGCCAAAATTGTATAGAAACAAAACAAAGAATGTACAAGGATGTATTAAAACATATTGCTACCCATAGGTTGCTGATACCTTGCTGATCCTGCATTAGATCCCATTACTTAAATTTCCAATAAGTAACAAATGTCAATGGAGTTGACTAAATCTATTGATGGGTAGTATTGAAACATTAATATATTTATTTGAAAAACATTACAAATGTAGGAGTTCACTGAATCTCCAATGAATATTTGAGGAACTATTCAGTTAGAAATTATATTAAAATTTTTACCCTTGAAACCCCCCCGGTTTTAAATAAAGAGGCAAAGTGATGCAGTGGATAAAGTGCTGGACCTAGTCATGAAGACCAGGATTAAAATCCTGCTTTTGACCCTTACTAGTTATATGACCCTAAGCAAGTCATTAATCTCTCCGGACCTCAGTTTCTTCATTTGTAAAATGAGGGGCTGGAGCGGATGGCCACTAAAGCCTCTCCCAGCTTTACATCTATGATACTATGACTGGCAGGATATAAAATATATTATTTCCACAATTGCTAAGTAATATACAAGGTAAACATTTATAATAGTAAGTAAAAGGCATACTTTAAAATACAAATTTAACCTAATGTTTTCACATCATACAGGTTCATAAAGAGTTATGTCAAAAGTGGAAATTTGGATACTAAATCTCATATTCGCATAGACTTATAGTGTAGCTTCTGAAATACATTGCCATGGGAAAAGAAACTGGCCCCAAGATGTAATAAAAACCGCACTTAAGAATCTTAACATTCATTTTAAGGATCATTCTTCCTTTTTCAGATTACATTCTATGTTCATTTAATTTCTCTACATAGGCCTTACAAGAAAAGTTAATCAAATGGACAGTCAGTATGCATGGTACTTACACAGACTTGAAGGTACCCATAAATTAAAATGTATTCAGTCAATGTTGCTTTCATTGGGAATGCTCGGGATTGAAAAGGCTGCGTCATTGATTTCCCCAGGTGTTCGGTAGAAGTAGGATTTTTTAAAAAATGGGTAGATTTTATACACA